CTGATACCAAAACCCGGCAGAGACTCAGCAAGAAAAGAAAATTGCAGGCCAATATCTATGATGAACATATATGCAAAAATCTTCAATAAAGTACTGGCAAACCGACTGCAACAGCACATCAGAAAGCTTATCCATCATGATCAAGTAGGCTTCATCACAGGGATGCAAGGCTGGTTCAACATACACAAGTCTATAAACATAATTCACCATGTAAACAGAACCAAAGTGAAAACCAAATGATTATCTCAATAGATGCAGAGAGGGCCTCTGACAAAATTCAACAGCCCTTTATGCTAAAAACTCTCAATAAACTAGGTATCGAACCCACAGCCAATATCATACTGCATGGGCAAAAATGGAAGCATTCCCCTTGAAATCTGGCACTAGACAAGGATGCCCTCTCTCACCACTCCTATTCAATAAAGTATTAGAAGTTCTAGTGAGAGCAATCAGGCAAGAAAAAGAAATAAAAGATATTCAATTAGGAAAGGAGGAAGTCAAATTGTCTCTACTTGCAGATGACATGATTGTATATTTAGAAGACCCTATTGTCTCAGCCCAAAATCTCCTTAAACTGATTAGCAACTTCAGCAAAGTCTCAGGATACAAAATCCATGTGTAAAACCCGCAAGCAATCCTATACACCAATAACAGAGTTAAAGAGGGCCAAATCAAGAACGAACTGCCATTCACAATCACTGCAAAGAGAATAAAATACCTAGGAATCCAACTGACAACGGATATAAAGGACCTCTTTAAGGAGAATTACAAACCACCGCTCAATGAAATAAGAGAGGACACAAACAGATGGAAAAACATTCCATGCTCATGGTTAGGAAGAATCAATATTGTGAAAATGGCCATACTGCCCAAAGTAATTTACAGATTCAATGCTATCCCTATCAAGCTACCAATGACTTTCTTCACAGAACTGGAAAAAAAACACCTTAAATTTCATATGGAACCAAAAGAAAGCCCACATAGCCAAGTCACTTCTAAGCAAAAAGAACAAAGCTGGAGGCACCACGCTACCTGACTTCAAACTATACTACAAGGCCACAGTACTCAAAACAGCATGGTGCTGTTACCAAAACAGAGATATAGACCAATGGAATAGAACAGAGGCCTCGGAGGCAACACCACACATCTACAACCATCTGATCTTGACATACCTGACAAAACAAGCAATGGGAAAGCATTCCCTGTTTAATAAATGGTGTTGGGAAAACTGGTTAGCCTTGTGCAGAAAGCAGAAACTGAACCCCTTCCTGACACCTTACACTAAAATTAACTCCAGATGGATTAAAGACTTAAACATAAGACCTAACACCATAAAAACCCTAGAAGAAAACCCAGGCAAAACCATTCAGGACACAGGCATAGGCAAGGATTTCACGAATGAAACATCAAAAGCAATGGCAACAAAAGTCAAAATAGACAAATGGGATCTAATTAAACTCCAGAGCTTCTGCACAGCAAGAGAAACAATCATCAGAGTGAACCAGCAACGAACAGAATGGGAAAAAATTTTTGCAATCTACTCATCTGACAAAGGACTTATATCCAGAATCTACAAAGAACTAAAACAGATTTACAAGAAAAAAACAAACAAACCCATTCAAAAGTGGGCAAAGGATAAGAACAGACACTTTACAAAAGAAGACATACATGAGGCCAACAAACATGAAAAAATGATCATCATCACTCGTCATTAGAGAAATGCAAATCAAAACCACACAGAGATACCATCTCACGCCAGTTAGAATGACAAGCATTAAAAAATCTGGAGACAACAGATGCTGGAGAGGATGTGGAGAAATAGGAACACTTTTCCACTGTTGGAGGGAGTGTAAATTAGTTCAACCATGGTGGTAGACAGTGTGGCCATTCCTCAAGGACCTAGAAATACAAATTCCATTTGACCCAGCAATCCCATTACTGGGTATATATCCAAATCGTTCTACTATAAGGACATATGCACACATAAGTTCACTGTAGCAGTGTTTACAACAGCAAAGACTTGAAACCAACCAAATGCCCATCGATGATGGGCTGGACAGGGAAAATGTGGCACATATACACCATGGAATACTATGCAGCCATAAAAAACGATGAGTTTGTGTCCTTTGTAGGGACATGGATGAACCTGGAAACCATCATTCTCAGCAAACTGACACAAGAACAGAAAAGCAAACACCGCATGTTCTCACTCATAGGCGGGTGTTGAACAATCAGAACACATGGAAACAGGGAGGGGAGCATCAGACACAGAGGTCTGTTGGGGGGAACTAGGGGAGGGACAGTGAGGGGTAGGGAGTTGGGGAAGGATAACATGGGGCAAAATGCCAGATATAGGTGATGGAGATGGAGGCAGCAAACTGCATTGCCATAGATGTACCTATGCAACAATACTGCATGTTCACATGTGCCCCAGAACCTAAAATGCAATAAAATATAAACCCTAAAAAAAAAAAATTAAAACTGATTATAGCAGTAACTAGGGAGTAAACCCATTTATCTTTCCTATCTCCAGTTCACGTTAATAAAACCACAATGGGAAAAAAAAAATCACAACTTAATGTAAATTTTAAAATAACAGAATATAAAGCTGTGTCAACTTTTATACAATAAGTTTTTAAAAGACTAAACAGAAGTATATCAAAATGTTAACAAATTATCTCTAGATAGTTTGATATATTTTCATTTTTGCATCTTTTTTCAAATCCTCTACAATGAGCATACTTCTATGATCACATTTTATGTGGTTTATGACCACAACAAAATTGAATAAAAAGAACAATTACCACATTTCTCTAAAGCTAGCCATAACCACGAGTGAAGAATTTAAGTCTGTACTGTAAATTATTACATAATTCTAACTTATTTAGAAATTTTTTGAATGACAGACATTAAAGCCTACTTGTCATAGTCAATTTTTATCTTCCTAGTTCTCTGTCACTAACACCCTTTGCCATCTTTTTCTTTCGATTTTGGGCAGTAGTTTAGCAAGGCAGAAAAAGCACCTTCCTTGCACTCAAACTTCTAAATCCCACGTCTATCATTATTTAGTTGTGTAACTGTTCTCATCTTGTACATTAGAATAATACCACCGATTAAAGATATTCTGGTATATGGTGGCATCTAAATAAGGAGTAGCAACTATTATCCATCGGAATGTATTACTTACTAGCTAGATTATAAGCACTTTGAGAGACTATGATTACCTTGTTCCACTATATCCATAATCCAGTACGGAGTCGGCATGTCATAATTTTCAACACATTATTTGTCACATCCATTACTAACTTCACTACCTTTTTTAGGGAGAGCCATCTCAAGATTGTAGAAGGAGTATTACCTCTCTTCTCCTATTTGATTTTTATTTATTTTATAGAGATGAGGGCTAACTATGCTGCCCAGGGTAGTCTCGAACTCCTGGACTCAAGCAGTCCTCTCACCTTAGCCTCTCAAAGTGCTGGGATTAAAGGCCTTGCCCTCGTAGTTATTTTAATGGAAAGTCAGAATAATTCTTAAAAGCCAGAGAAAGTCGAAGATTAAATCATATAGCTCTACACTATCCTATGGTAACAGTAAATAAATGAGTAAGTAAGACAATTTTAGATAGGGTAAATAATGTTATTACCTATTTAGGTCCATATTTCTAAATTATATGCTAAGCTGCTATTTTAGATATTATCTACTGACTTCCTGCTGTAGTAGACGAGGTTGTTTACTACACTTACACTATCTTCCCACTACATTTCATCCTAATTTTTGCTTAAACTGCCTGTAGTTCTACATTATGTTTAGGGAAACACCACTCACTGTAAAGCCAAGAAATTTACTGTGATAATGTCTCTTTTCTTATAAAAAGTTTCGCTTTTCCTGTTGTGTCCCTATCCTTCATTTTTTACATTAGATGCTATTTACTCATCAACAGATTTTTCTTCCCAATGCTTAAACATATCTATTGAGTCTACTTTTATCTGGAAACCTCCTTTTTGTAGAGACAGTGTCTTGCTTTGTTGCTGAGGCTGGTCTTAACTCCTGGACTCAAGTAACCCTCCCGTGTCACTCTGTGGACTAGCCAGAATTACGGGCATACACAACTGTGCCCTGCCTATCTTTCATTTTGTCTCTTTGTTTATAAACAAGTTTTTCTTCTTAAATATGAACAATTATTTTAATTAAAAAATCTTTTTGTTGTTTTTGATTTAGAGAAAGCTTGGATTAATAAGATATCCAGAAACAATGTCTGTGAAACAGGTGTTTTTATCCACATTTTGCAAAATAGCTAACAATAAAAATACCAATTTATAAGTAGCAGCTAAAAAGAAACGCAAGCTGATCTAATTTCTCACCCTGTTGTTCAAATTGGCATTTTAAACTATTGTGCCTTAATCAAAGCCACTCTTTTGTATACAATAATCACAGGCAAAGCAACTACTATGTAGGGTAACTATAAATGATCAAAATAGGACACTTTTGAAAATGAATGAAGCACTACTAATAATTATGCCAGGACAATATGCATAATCTAAGCAAACCAGCCATTATATTACTAATAACCTCTTAGATGCTGAGCTTTTAAACTTGTAAGATATTACCAATCCCATGAAGTTCCCCCTTCAAACACCCCACTACTATGCTAGTGCCCAATATAAAGATCACCATGGTGAAAACATAAGATGAAAAAAATTAGCAAACAAAGAATAAAAAATTTTTAAGATATTGATGTTTGCAACCCACCCTCAACAAGCACACACACAAACAATTCATTTAGAAATTCACATACTTTCTGCTCAAAGGAAATAGTAATTCACAATTTAAAAATAGATAGAACTGAATATACTGGTAGAGTTTTCTTTCTCTCACTCAGAATTACTCAATTGAAGAAATAAAGAAAGGGTGAAAAATGATTAGAAAGAAAAGAGAATGAACTGTAGTTTTCTACCTGAAGTAGTTAAGACATGAGAGAAGAAATCACTAAATGCCCTTACCCATCCCAGAGTCTTTCTTGGTGCCATCTGATATTATGTCTACATGATCAGAGTCCACATCATAACTAAAGAAATCATTCAAATAGGTCTTTGATCGCTGGCCACCAAATACATATAAGCAACGATTTTTCTGAAAAAGAAGAAAAAAAAGAAGACAGGAGAAAGTTGTCACTTCCATGAAGAACTCGGAATGATCCTTCAAAAACTGAAACCTCTACAAAAGTAATTTTACAACAGATCCCAAAGGAGTACTACACTGGAATGTAAGGGAAAGAGGAAGCTCTCTATACATTGCTAAAAGGTGATCTCTAGGACATCCTGTTAAAGAAGAAAAGCAAGGTGCAGAAAGATATGTAGGTTGCTGCTTCCTTTGGGTAGGAATGGAGAAGGAGGAGTATCTGTGCATGAGAGAGAGAGAGAGAGAGAGAGAGAGAGAGAGAGGGAAAGAGAAATAGAAAGGTGGAAGAGCATGCAAGCGAGAGCGAGAGAAGAGATTGCTTCTTTTTTTCAAAAACAAAGGAAGGATAAACCAAAACCTAATAAAAGCCAGTTACCTATAGTGGCAGGAACAGAGCAGGAAGATGGGGATAAAAACCAAACTTCTCCAAAAATACCTGACACATGGTTTTGACTTTATAACCATGTATATATTTTTATTTAATTAGAAGACAACATTAACTCAAAAGAAAAAAAAAAAACCTAAAATTTTGGGGAAAAAACAACAAACCTCTCTGTATATAAAGATATAATCACACAGAGAAGCAGTATTTCTAGAGATTTTAATACATACTTTTTGACTACCTATCACTAGAAGTCTAAATCCTAAACAGAAAAATAATCAGAAACCAATGTGAAACAGCACTCAGTGATTCTATTACTAAATCTTTCTTTTGAGCTTTGTTACTGTGAAAGCTATTATAGACAGACAAAGCAAGTAATGTTATGACATAGGATTTTAACCTTAAAAGACACAAAAATATGCCCAGTGTGGTGGCTCGCACCTGTAATACTAGCATTTGGGCGGGCCAAGGTGGAAGGACTGCTTGAGACCAGCCTGGGCAACATAGCAAGGTCCCGTCTCTACTACTACTGCTGCTGCTGCTGCTGCTGCTGCTTCTACTATTACTACTACTACTAATATAAACCCAGGTGTAGTGGTACACACCTACAGTTCTAACTACTTGGGAGGCTAAGATGGGAGGATCATTTGAGCCCAGAAATTCAAGGCTATAGTGAGCTATGATCTGCACTCCAGACAAGGTGGCAGAGCAAAACCCTGTCTCTAAAAAAAGAAAAAATTATAAAGTAACAAAATAGAAGACATTAAGATAAAAAATATTTTATTTGAATGAGACATGTCAGTATGAACTCATGATTCAATTTTTCTCTTATGAAAAAAATACATAAGTATCTTTCTATCTAGCCAAAAAGAAAAATTTGAGTATCAAGAAAGTAGCCGGGTGTGGTGGCTCATACCTGTAATTCCAACACTTTAGAAGGCCAAGGCAGGCAGATCACCTGAGGTCAGGAGTTCAAGACCAGCCTGACAAACATGGTGAAACCCCCGTCTCTACTAAATACAAAAAATTAGCTGGGCATGGTGGCACATGCCTGTAATCCCAGCTACTTGGGAAGCTGAGGCAGGAGAATTGCTTGAACCCAGGAAGCAAAGGTTGCAGTGAGCCAAGATTGGGCCACTGCACTCCAGCCTGGGCAACAAGAATGAAACTCCGTCTCAAAATAAAAGAAGATGGCATTGGATAGAAATACATCAGATATGTAAAATTCTTAATAAAATTTTTGTACACATACCATGGTTAACTTTGGAGCCTCAAAGTTAACTCATTCATATGAAAATCAATAAAGGAAAACAGTGAGACATTTATAATGCCTATTCAGTATGCTTTACATTTCAGGTTAACCAGAAAGTTAAAGAGAGGAATTTTTTTTTCTTTTGTAATAGGAGAATCACACACTTAACAAATGCAGAGGAAATGACATCATTAGAAAAATCACCATCTTATACATCCTAACAAAATTTAGGCAATGAATGGCTATAAAAACCATTAGGTAAAAGTTTAAAAGAAAGAAAACTCTGTAATTGATCAGTCAGGCTAATAACACCTAGACCTATTAACATCATCAAAAGTATGACAACCAATCATTAAATGCCTCTTTATATTTTACAATGAGAGTATCTATGAAGCGTTCTTGCCCATTTCCCCTGGCCCCTACCAAAAAAAAAAAAAAAAAAAGTGAATCTAAAATCAAGCCTCCAGCTGCAATTACCAGTTTTTAGGAAATATGAAAAAGGAACACATTAAATGACACTATGAAGAAAAAATCAAAATCAAAACTGGAAACCTAGGAGATTCTAGAGCACAAATGTCTCGCTTAGTGAGTTGTATATTGGGGGGTGGGGAACAGGAGGAAAGTGTACTATTAAGGATTTTTTAAAAATATAAGAGACATAACAACCAAATGCAAAACACCTTTTTTGAATCTTGACTTAAACAAACCAACTAAGAAAAGGTATTTTTCAGTATATTAGAAAAAAATACAGATAGAATATTAAATGGTATTTAAGAAACTGCTTTTATTTTGGTTGATAATGATATTACAATTATGTTTTCTTTTTCTTTCTTTTTTTCTTAAGAGGCTTGCTATATTGCCCAGGCTGGAGCACAGTGGCTACCACAGGCGTGATTCCACTATTGATCAGCATGGGAGCTCTGACCTGCTCTGTTTCTGACCTAGCCAGTTCACCCCTACTTAAGCGACTTGGTGGTCCCTCGCTCCTGGGAGGTAACCACACTGACGCCAAACTTAGTGTGGACAACTGATCAGCACAGTGCAATGCGGCCCAGAAATGGGCTCCAGCAATCCTCAGCCTCCTGGGTAGCTGGGACTGCAGGTGTGCACCAGCATACCCAACTGCAACTATGTTTTTAAAAAGTCCCTATCTGTTAGACTTACACACTATATAGTCTAACAGTAGTATTTACAAGTATAATGACATAGTATTTGTGATAAGTAGTATTTACAAGTATAGTAGTATTTACAAGTATAATGATACAGTATTTGGGATATGCTTTAAAACACTACAGCATGTGCTATAACAAGATGTTGTAGAAAAGGAATAAATATTTAAAAAATACTCCAGCACAATAAAATTTAAGAATAAACTTAAAAATCAAAGGATCAAGAAAGTGAACGAAATTAAAGTGGAGTAGCTGTATGAAAAAATGAACAGATTACTGATAACTGTTGAAACTAACAAATGAGTACACAAAAAGTATTAATTATATTCTTCTCTACTTTGTAGAGAAAAACATGTTTAAAATACATGTTAAAGAACATGTATAAAATATTCCATATTGTTTTAAAGCTGTGTTCATAGAAGGAAGACCAAGGTTTCATTAAAACATTTGAAAAGGTTAAAAACAGTCTGTACTGTACATTGGGTTTTGCTGATTTATTTATTTCTATTATTATTATTATCGAGACAGAATCTCGCTCTGCCACCCAGGCTGGAGTGCAGTGCCATGATCTTGGCTCACTGCTGCCGCCTTTGCCTCCCAGGTCCAAGCAATTCTCCCACCTCAGCCTCCCAAGTAGCTGGAATTACAGGCAGGTCACCACGCCAGGCTAATTTTTGTATTTTTACTAGAGACAGGGTTTTGCCATGTTGGCCAGGCTGGTCTTGAACTTCTGGCCTCAAATGATCCACCACACCTGACCGTTGCTGATACATTTAAATTCTAATGCTATAAAATCAAATCTTAAATTATTTGTTCTTAATGGAGAATAGCAGAGGGGAAAATAAGAGAGAAAGAAATTCTCTAAGAAAGACATAACTGGAAGAGAATAACTGTAAGAGAAGTTAGTAAATGAAAAGGCATAAGAAAGGAACATAGCTACAAAATCTACATAAGCTGTGAAATTAATTAGTCATAAGATTGCCCAGATTGGTAGTCGGGTAATAACTATTTGGAAATTACCAGGTTGATGGGACTGGTAGTCGGGTAATAACTATTTGGAAATTACCAGTTTGATGGGAAGAGTCTCATAATTAGCAAACAGTTCACTGTTAGAGAAGTTCTGTCTTTCTCTGTCATTGCTACACTAATCATTTATTCCTAAGGAAAAGTTTTTAATCTCTTGAATTAGACCTCACCACTTCTTTTCCTGTCTAGACAGACACGACAAAATAACATTTATGCAATAAACGGAATATTCTTACTGAGTGGAATAGCATGCAGTGTCCTATTCGAGACTGGATGTCCTCAGGCCCAGCATTACAGGAGTCCTCTCGAAGAAGTTTCCAGGTTTGACATTGACAGTTGAAAGCAAATAAGCCACTGAATTGTGGTTCACTGGCTCTGCTGTCATCTACGCTGCCGTTACAAGTCAAAATTCTACCACCGAAAGTGTAGATCATATGTTTTTCTGAGTCCATACACATCTATCAGAAGAAGGCAACAGATTGAATAGGTTTAGTTTGTTCCTGTCATATGTGCTAAAACAAAGCCAACATGTGTAGTTTTACATTCTCAAAAAAACCCTAAACTTTGCCCCTAATGACACTAAATACCACCCTGATTATCGTAGGCAAGTTTCTAAATACTTTTTCAAGTTGCCATTTTTCCCAGTGAGAGTAAAAACATGTTGGGATAAAGAGCTTTCTGCTTTCCTGAAATTGTATCATTTCAATCAAAATCAACCAATATACATGAGGCATTGATTTACATGTAAGAGTGAATACTTATCATATTCTGGGTCGATAGTGATCGTACCCTCCTTATAAAAATTCCCTTCTTTCATTCTAGGCAAGCATCCTATTAATACTGCTACCATTTATTAAGAGATGCAAGTAAGAGTAGTGCAGCTAAATTCACCTCTCTGCATTTATTTTTATAAAACCCTTCAAATTACATTACAAAATAGTAAAACAAACAAAAAGACATTTACAACAAGCAAGTCTCCAGAATGACTTTTACAGTGTGAAGAACTCTGCCTCCTTTTAACATAGCACTATAAATTTAATTTTCTTTCAATTAAGCTATATACTTCATGTTTAAAAGTTAAGCTTTATTCTTCCATTCTTTTAACTCAAGATTATAGCTTTTCATAAAAATGTATGAGAAAACAGCCATTTGTCAGAAGACAATAAGAATCAAATTCTGTTTCAAATAATACATAAACCCAAGTTGGGAATTAGATGTTGAACATAAGCGGCATTTATATTAAAGAATAAATTGTGTTCATAAAATATCTATGTTTTGCTAAAAAAAAAAAACACAATTAAATATTTATGTTTAATTCTCCTACAAATCACTTCTATTTATCAATTTTTGCATTTTTAAATAAAAGGCTATTTTCATAATTTTAAAGGTTTAAAAAATTATTATTAAAAAGAAAAGATTCTAACGTCTCCTAATTCTTATCTACCACTAAAAAGATCCACCTCATTAGCCATTTCCCAGGTTTCTCAAAGCCTTCCATAAATTAAGATGAAAATTTATTCCCCAAGGTGAAATCTTGGTAAATATGGTTGAAAAACAAAGATCTCTGGCATACTACAGAAAGTATTCCTGTTTTAAAAACAATCATATAGTTAAAATCAGCATGCTGCTGAAGACAACTCAATTTGGTCCCATCCAACTACTGCCTCTGTTGACGGCTCCACTGGAGCTAGGTCACATTACCCTTCTGAAGTACTTCAGACTCAATCACTCCAAATATCTGAGACCTATGCTGAAAATCTTGAGGGACTCACATTAAATGAGCCTATTTCCATTTTTCATTAACTCATATGCTAATGGCCAATCTCCGTTACCAACCCCCACCTTTCTACTTCGTATGGCTACAAAGAGTTTCTTTCTTTTTGAGGATATTCAAGCTTAATTTTGATGTGACTTATTCTCATTTGTTTGCAAGGCTGAAGTATAGACATCTTTATCTTGGTACTTCTTCCTAGCACACCAGTCTAAACCAAAAAACCTTTTAATATTTGATTTCTACTCTTTTGATTTGTCATTTTTAATCTCTGAAAAAATCTGAAAAGCTAGAAACTTATTAAACTCTGTATGATAACAGAGTTATCTATCAAAGACTCCAAAAAATCTTTAAAGCCAGAAGTTAAAACACTGTTCATTTATTATGCCAGGTTAGATATTTAATTTTTAAAATCAAACAAATAGTGAATAACCATTTATTTTCCTGGGAAAAAATATTTTTTGAACCTGAAAATGACTTTACCCTACCTACAGGAATACAAGATTGGTAAGGGTTTGGCTGGGTTCAAAATAATCTCCTCACAAAATTTGAAGATACTGCTATAAAGCCTTCTAAGTATCCACTGTTGTCCAACCTGCCAACCCTCCCTTCTACAAACCTCCAAAAATGCCTCATAACCCAGTGAGAATGTCAATGAGCTGAGATCTTCAATTCTTCAACTCAAGTTTTTCCTGATACTTCTTGGCTAGCTCACTTTCCATTTTCTAGTAATTTCCACAAAAAGTGATTACACTTGAAGAACAGTTTGGCTAGATATAAAATTCTTGGCTCACACTGTCTTTTCTTGAATGTCTTCTAGATGTTGCTCTATTATCTCCTGGCACTGAAAGTAGATATAGAGAAATCTGATACCAGTCACATTTTAGTTCTCTTATAGGTGACTTGATCATTTTGTCTACTTGATATAAAATGATCTCCTATCTTTTATAGTCAATGTTATTAATATATGTCTTAGAGTTAAGTATTTGGGCCAATTTTTCCTGAATACAATATGCCCATTTGATATATGAAGTAAAATCTTTCCTCAGAAAAATGTTCTTGAATTCAACTGATAAATATTTGTTTTGTTCCATTGTTTTGGTTTTCTTTTTTAAAGTCTCCAGTTATATATGCATTGGCTCTCTTCTACCTATCTTCCCCGGTTAATCATTTTTACCTCTTTGTTTTCTTTTACCTTATTCCTATGGTGTAGGATCATTACCTATTCTTTTTAATGCTCTGTGTAGGTAAGTTTTCATTTCTAAAAGTGACAATAGACTGGGATATAACTTTCATTTACTTTTGTTTAAAGGAAATACTGTTATTTTTCTTCTTATTGTCTTTCTTTAGAATCTCTCTCTAAAGCTTTGTTATTTATTGCTTTTTAGTTTTTCATATGTAATTCAGTTGAATTTCCCTGGACCACATAACTTTACAGAGGATTTCTTTGGAAGATGGATATTCTTGCTCAAGAACTCCTTCCTCTGTTGCTACTGAATTGAATGCCTCCTTCAAAATATAGTACTTCTGTGAAGTCATACCTTCTCTAATTCTATGAATCTCATCTGGCTTACAGGGCTGTTCTCAAGCTTTGAGTTCCCCCAGTTTTTTACTGGCCATTGCAAAAGGAGCCATCATTCCCACTTGTCACTGTGTTTCCTTCACTTTTATAAAATAGTGCTTTCTGACACATATCACCTCTGGATCTTTCTGGGTACTTTATATGCGTAAATTCACCAACTTTTCCAGTGGCTGCCCTGGGTAAAATCCGTGACCTGTCCCTGACACTTCTCACTATGATGTACAACTGCTAGGCTCCCTCTGCATTCCCAGGTCTCCCGATTATACTGCTGTGGGCTTCAACAAAAGTTCTGGGTATTTCCGTTGTTTTAGGCTAAACTTACAAGGCATTGGGAATCGTAGGTTTACTGTGGCTCTTGGTTTTGCTGAGAGAGAGAGACAGAGAGACAGAGAGAGAGAGAGAGAGAGAGAGAGAGAGAGTGTGTGTGTGTGTGTTCGCGCGCACGTGTGTGTGCGTGTAAAGCTTTTTGCTTGATTATCACTGTTCCTGAAAAACTACACAAAGCAACATCAAGAAAAGCCTGAGAAGTAAACTGCCACTATGTTCTTAAGAAATCCAGTCTTTAAATTGTATTTCTTAAATATGTTAAAATTAAAAATGGCAAATAGCTTTTAAGCCTGCTTTTATCTTACAGCTTTCTCATATTTTTATCAAATTTGTACATTATGTGTTAAATCCTAATTGTCATGAACACCACAAGTTATTTTTGGAGTGTTATAAACACTACAAGTGTAAGTTCTAACTTATAGCTTTATTTGCATGAAATACAATAGCAAATGCAGGAGTATACAGATTACTTGCTTACTGTTACAGCGCTAGTTGTTGGCTGAATTAGTACTGAAATCCTTGTTTCTTAACCCCCAGTGTTCTGCTGTACCATCTAATCAGTTGAAAGCCATGCATTATTTAACAGCACTCAGCTTCCAAGAAACATCCTATTTTATAAAAGTCAAGAGAAACAAAGGCCACACACAAGAACTCTTTATGTACTACTCCTAAGCTATTCTTCTTTCAACCTGAAAAAACAAAAAAAGACATCAGCATCTTTTGTAAAAGAAATACATAACCATTTGGGAACAAGAGAATAAACTGTTCCCTAACGATATTATCTGCTGATGTTTTAAAAGATCAGAACCAGCCTAACTTTTCTTTGCATGCTTATTTTGCACATGAACAACATTGAGGCTGTCAGCAAGGATGTGCACAGCTCTGTGGAGCTCAGTTATTTAGAGCCAACGGAAGTTCCAAATTCAAGCTGGGGAGTATTTTGAAGACTACTGCTTTTGATTTTCTACCTACCACTTAACTTGATAGGCATAACTCACTCTTCTTCTCCTTATCATTCTCCTATAACAATTACATATTCGTATAAATATGGCAATAGGATAGTTCAAAAGCAAAGAATTAACAAAAATCTATAAAGACACAATAAATAAAGACCCTGGGTTCTAACTCCTAGATAAGATTTTAGGTCTCATGTAGGTTTTGCAATAATTGTAGCAACACCTCCCATTTCCCAAATACTAGATAATTTACATTCATCAATATAGAGTTATAGGTTTTTAAAGTCTTATTCTCTTCAATATACGAAAAAAACTTTGGACATGGGTTGAGCCAGATAAAAACTTGCTTACAGAATTCAAAATGATTACTGTCTTTTTGACCTACATTGAATTTGTATGGATTAAGTATTCAAAGACAGATAATAATGACAATGATGGGGCTAATGAGAGTTACATGCATATTAATATTAAAATAGCTTCCAATGAGGCTATGTTCAGTCTTCTAGTCCACAACATTATTGTGTAATTACTATTGGTGCTGAGTTTAATCTAGTATGTCAAATTCCTCTTCAGGTTTATAAAATTTTGTGATTATAAACAAAACAAAATAAATTTCACTCTAACTGGAAAAAAAGTTCTAGATTTCATCCAGTTTATTATAAAGTGGTTTTCCATTTCTTATAGGAATGTAGAAGAAATATAATTAAAAGGTTAAGTTGTTATGATTTATGCATATTTATTATAAAACTAAATTTGTTTTTCTTAATATTGTTCCATCTACCCTCTAAAGTTTCTAATCAACAATTTATGTCCTGAGGTCTTCATATTTTACCCTGCAACAAAAAAGAGAAAAAATGTAAAGAATAACTTTATACCTATTCAAACAGTAATTACTATCTGTCATAGGTATTTGTCATGGAAAGCACTATTAGACAACTCAGTATAACATCTAACATAAACTCTAATTCCAAGAATCACTAAGCACTGATTAATTCCACCATATATTTAACTGTGCATCAAACCTGATGATCAAACACCAATTTCGGCCCTCCATCAGCAGCAGTATCCTCACTTAGTAACATCCAAGTGTTTGTATCAATGTCATAACGATAGAAATCACTTTTCAGAGATTTGCTGTTCCTCACAGAGGAATCCAAATAACGCCCCAATGTGTAGATTTGCCTCCTTTGAATGTCAATGCACATTTTATGACATGATCTGGCACTAGGACCATTCTGTAGAGAGAGAGAGAGCGCTAAATAAATAAAAGCACACACAAAAAATCAAAGAACAAATAGACAATAAAATTAAACACCCTTTTTTAATTACCTTTCATTAAAAGGTTTCTCAGAAACTCACATCAAGTCAACTAATAAGTCCAACACTAGGCTTAACTCTCTAAAGGAAAGCAAAAGCAGTGAGCAGCAGGAGACACAAATCTTACCTTAGAAATGCTTAAAATCTACCAGGAAATATGAGATGAACTACACTGCACCTTATGGCATTCTGTTTATAACATCTATATGGCTTATACCATATACTGCACTGCATTTTAGTCATTTGTGCACAGAGTTCAATTCCCCATTACATGTCAATCTACTTTAAGACATGTTTGGTCTTTAAGTACATTTCTGTATTTCTCATCAGAATTTGGCACAAAAGAGGTACTCCAAAAATATTTAGAATCAGTGAATTCCAAAATTAGAAGAAACATCAATAAAATCTCTAGTTTAGTTTTCTTCTTTTAAAGAGAAGAAAATACAAGCCTAGCAAGGAAATATAAGACCAGGATGATACCTTTAATAAGTTAGTGACAGAACCTAAATAAGAATCCAAGTCTTTGACTTCTTCATCCATCCTTTACATTATAAAATTAATTTTCCTGACTGAATAAATAGCACAGCTACAGTAAATAAATGGGAATATATTAAGAACAGCAAATTATCAACAAATTAATTAATTGATATCACTTGTATCACAGGACCCAATAAAACATAAAAAGCATTGTAGTATAGTCAAAAGAGTTCACAGGGAAAAAAGAACTTCAACTGCACAAGGTTTGATTAGTTGAAAGGTGGAAAGGAAAGGAAAGGAAACTAATGTTTGTTAAACAACTCCCAAGTTCTGTTTACACTATTATTGTGTTGTATGTGTTTCATCTAATCCTTACAATAACCACATAAGGAAATATTATCACCATTTCACAGAGTCAATCGACACAAAACTAGGAAGTAAGATAGCAAATCTATGCCTTTGTGTACCAGAGTCAAAAACTGGGCCCTTTCACAATTTCAGATTATTTTTTTCTAGAAGAGAAACAAAGGCAAAAATATACTTGTTAATACAGTGCATGCAGTTATGACTCAGATGAAGAGTTCTTGCTGCAGATGTAACAAAATTGAAGTATAAAGTGATACAGGAAGCCTCTGATGAATGAGCACTGGGAGACTAATTTTTTACAAAGGGAGAGAAAATACAAATTGCCAGTACCAGAAATGAAAGCAAGATTCCCATTATAGACTTCCTAGAAATAGAGACAGAGAGATTGTCCAGATATCCACAGTGGTAAATTATATCAAGCACTTAAAGAAAAAATAGTTATCAGTTTTAGATAAATTTTTTTCAGAAAATAGAGGGAAAACGAAAAACTCTACTGTTTAATCCACATTCTCTTCCATTCCTAGCTTATTTTATGAGGCCGATATAATACTGAAACCACATGACAATACTAAAAATGAGAAGGGAGAGAGGGGGAAAAAGAAGGAAGAAATGGGGAGGAGGCAGAGAAATCATTTACAGGTGGCTAGGACCCCTTATGAACAGAGACAAAACCAATCTTTAACAAAATATTAGCAAACAGTAGCAATATATGAAAAGAATATTTTATAATAAAAAGGTATTTATCTCAGGAATGTAAAGTTGATTTTATATCTGAAAATCAATCAGGATAATTTGCCACATTAACTAAATAAAGAAGAAAAAAACACAGTTATGTCAACACATATGTAAAAAGAGCATTTGGTAAAATTCATTATTCATGATAAAAACTCATAGCCAAAATAGGAATAGAAAGACTTTCAATCTGATAGCAGATGTAAGAAAATGTAAAACTTATTATTTTTTAATGATGACATACTGAACACTCTTCCTCAGATATGAAACAAGACAGGGATGTCTTTTCTCACCATTTATATTTAACACTGCTGTGGAGGTCCATGTCAGTGCAATAAGGTAGGCATTAAAAAATAAAATAAAGGCTGGGCCTGGTGGCTCATGTCTGTAATCCTAGCACTTTGAGAGGCCAAGGCAGGAGGATTCATTGAGTTCAGGATTTCAAGACCAGCCTGGACAACATACAGAGACCCTATCTCTACACATAATTTAAAAATTAGCTGGGCATGGAGGCACATGCCTGTGGTCCAGCTACTGGGGAGACTGAGGAAGGAGGATTGCTTGAGCCCAGAAGGTTGAGGTTGCAGCAAGCCATGATCACATCACTGCACTCCACCATGGGCAACAGAGTGAAACTCTGTCTCAAACAAACAAACAAATAAATAAAATAAAATTATGATGAAAACGAGAAAGGAAAGGAAGAAGAAAAATGACTGCTTGTTTAAAACACTCTAAGGAATAAAAAAGAAGCTATTAGAAATAAGTAGACTTAACAAAGTGGAATGATAGAAAGGCAATATTAACAAATCAATTGTATTTCTCTATATTACCAGCCAACAAATGAAAAATAAAAAAATTTTAAATACCATTAGAATAACACAAAAAGCAAAATACACTGATATCAACTTAACTAAAATATCACAAACCTCTTAAAATGAAAACTCTTAAGAGTGCTGAGAGATAATGAAGATTAAAATAAATGGAGACTAAACCACGTTAATGGATTAGAAAGATTCAATATCCTTAAAACACCAATTTGCAGCCAGGCACAGTGGCTCACGCCTATAATCCCAGCACTTTAGGAGGCTGAGGCGGGTGGATCACCTGAGGTCAGGAGTCCAAGGCCAACCTGGCCAACATAGTGAAACCCCATCTCTACTAAAAATACAAAAATTAGCTGGGCATGGTGGTGGGTGCCTGTAATCCCAGCTAGTTGGGAGGCTGAGGCAGGAGAATCACTTGAACCAGAGAGAAGGAGGTTGCAGTGAGCCGAGATTGCGTCACTGCACTCCAGCCTGGACGACAGAGCCAGACTCCATCTCAAAAAAATAAAACCCACCAATTTGCTCCAAATTAATTTTTAGATTTATCATATTCCCTTCATAATCCCAACAGTTTTAGAAGCTAATGATTCTAAAATTTATATAAAAATGGAAAGGACCTAGAAATGCCAAAAGAATTTGAAAAGGAAGAACAAAGAGGTCTTATATTACCTACTTCACGAATGACTATACAGCTACAGTAATCGAGGGAGTGTCATATTGGTTAACGAGACCAAAATAGAACAGAACAGAATAGAAAGTCCAAAAAGAGACACATACTTACATGATCAATTGATTTTTGGCCAAGATGCCAAAGCAAATCAATGGAGTAAGAAGATAGGGAGTAACCAGAAATCTCATACATTGCCGGCCAAGTATAAAAAGGTACAACCATTTTGGGAAAAGCTTTAAGTTTTATTAATGGATAATAAAAGGGTGAGAGTTTGATGAGTAATGGCATAATTTCATAATCTTGAAATGCCTTCCTACAAATTACTTACTAATTATAAATTAAACAAATCTGGTGGGTATCTCCCTAACCAAGTGATTGAAACTAGTATCAGATAAACTGATGTAACGTGTCTCCTGATATGATATACTGAGGAGATGCCAATGTGATCTATGGGTTACTCCTGCTAAAAATATATCATCTAAATCCAACCTTAAGAAAACATAGAAACACAGTTGAGGAATATTCTAAAAAATAACTGCCCTGTATTCTTTAATATAATCAAAGTCAAGAAAGACAAAGAAAGGTTAGGGAACTATTCCAGACTAAAGATGACTACAGATGCAAGACACCAAAAACGAACACATGATCATGGTCTAAATTCTGGGGTGGGGTTGCAGAGTGACAAGGGATGCCTATAAAGAACATTACTGGGGCATTATTGGGATAATTGTCTATATCTGAATAGGAACTGTGAATTAGATTAAAGCGGCAGTTCTCAGTGTGGTCTGGGTTCTCCAAGGTGCTTCAGGGAGTCTACAAGGTCAAAGTTATTTTTACAACAATATTAACAAAAAAATTTGCCTTTTCAATCTTACTCTCTCATGAGTGTATGTGAACATTTCCAGGGGCTATATGACTTTCTGATATAGCAACTGAATGCAGAAGCATATGAATCTTGATGTTTTTTATTGAGCCAAACATTAAAGAGATTTATAAAACTATTTAAAAAAATGCCACTTGACTTAGCATGGTTGTCTTGGGGAATGGCATCTTTGTAATTGAGTTGTGAACTGATGCAGTTGCTTTTTCCACAACACACTACATATTTACTTGAAAGAACAAATAACGATCAAACTATGGTAATTTAGACATTATGGCAGACATTTTCTCAAAAATGAAGAAAGGAAGAAGCATATCCATCTTCTTCCTTTGTTGAAGGAAAATCAACAAAATTTGTTGCCAGTATTTTAATGTACGTTTTTAAGCAAAATTCGAATTATTGAAAACCTACCTGCCACTGTAATCTTGACACTTTCCCAATACTTAAAAGTCTCTATGAGACTGACGGTGATATTAACAAATGTGGCTTTTGGGATACTATAGTATAAAATATGCCAATATTGGCCGGGCATGGTGGCTCAAGCCTGTAATCCCAGCACTTTGGGAGGCCGAGGCAGGTGGATCACGAGGTCAAGAGATTGAGACCATCCTGGTCAACACGGTGAAACCCCGTCTCTACTAAAAATACAA